TGAGCAAAAATCTGAATTTGCTGCAGATGCTGATATTTCTATGATGAAATTCTGATGCTTGTAATGTAAACCAATGAGATCTTTTTAACAGTGCAGCAGATACTGACATAAAATGATCTAAATATCAGTGGTCGCTCTATATCTGCAGTAATCTGTCTCAGTAAAATGAGATTGAAATGCTCCAAACATATAATGCAGTGATTGAGAGCTGAAGAAATAAAGGCTCCTCAGAAGATGTGAGATGTTCTGGAGGCTTGTGAAGATCATTCCTCCGCTGAGGAACAGTGAAAGTAAAGCTTCTGGAAACAAACGCTCCTCAAAAGATCCTGAGGATCAGATTTGAGACTCTAAAACATGATTGATGGAGAATCAAGTAAAGCTGAGCTGCTTCAGTGCAGTAAGTGTTCATCTGGAGATATTACTGCAGTTATTCTGACGTTTACTTGATAAAAATCAGTCAAGATTTGACACGAGAAGCTCGAGCTGAAGCTGGACGCTTGTACAGTTACACTAAAAGAGCTTTGACTGGATAAAAAGCTCCGAACTATCCCTCAGAAGACCATTTTTGATTATTTAGAGACCTCAGAAATTCATGCATCAACTACGATACACTAGGCTTTATAGGGTTAATAAACACAAATACATTTTGCATTTATTTATCAAGAATAACATAAGAATTGATGTTTTTTCCCCCCTAAGAGATTATTTTTAAACAGCCGGTTCTGTGTTTGACGGGTTGTAAAGGGCACGTGTCAATCAGAGACGATTTGATTTGTCAAGTCTTTTATCTTCTCAAGTCTCATGACGAAACGCAGACGTGCTTCACTTACAGAAGCAGAAGCGCTCCCTCGATCTCTCGTTAATGCTTATGCAGCTTCATGTGATGGTCCTTTGTTCTGGGATGTTTAGAATTTGTTTTACGGCTAGACTGCAGATCACAGTTTAACTTTTCCTTCTCATTCGGAGGAAATTGTGTTTTATTGTCTTTTATGATTGAAGGGGAATTCATGTGGCTGTAGTTTCTGTCTTTCAGCTTCAGTGATGATTTAAAGGTCTGTAATTGTCTGCTGGTTGTTCATGTTCTCGGACTCAGAAATTATTTTTCTAGTGCTAATGTAAAATAATCAGTCACAACATTAATTCAGCTCTATGTTTTCTTTGATAAATAGCTGACAGGTTGATATCATATGTGACCCTGGAGCACAAAAGCAGTCTGTAGTCGCTGGGGTATATTTGTAGCAATAGCCAACAATACAAGATTAATTTATGTCAAGAGTGCACCTCAAAACATATGCATCATAATAGGAGTTCTGACCTTTGTCACATAAATTCTATTTCATTTCCTTTTTCCCTATTACATGTTTTAGTAACCAACATAAATTATATATATAATTTTAAAGCTTAAACCCTCAAAATTCATCCTGTGAAAACCATTTTGAAATCAGACATTGTGTTACCATGGAAATGGTAAAATTCTAAAATGGTCTTTTAGAATCAAAATTTTTTATAATCTTGACAAATTCATATCGTTGGAAAGGTCTGACTCTCAAGATTCCATATTTGGTGGTTATTTTGACAAAAAAATTGCATGAAATATTCAATGGAGTTTGAATGGCACCCGGTGGCTAGTTTTGGTATAACGCCTAAACAGAATTGCATAGGAACCTCAATTTTTTTTAATATCAACTTCAAATTTGGAACACAACTTATTTAGAAATGTTCATGGCCCTAAATGAGAAAAAGTCACAACATTTCAAGAATAAAATCACAGGTTAACTGGTATTTCCGACAGCTCAAAAATCAAAATGGGTCAAATTGACCCAGAACATAATACAAGGGTTAAAGGCGATTGTCTCAATATTTTGATTTTTTTTTTTGCACCCTCAGATTCCAGATTTTCAAATAGTTGTATCTCAGCCAAATATTGTCCTATCCTAACATCATACATCAATGGAAAGCTTATTTATTCAGCTTTCAGATGATACATACATCTCAATTTCACAAAATTGACCCTTATGACTGGTTTTGTAGTCCAGGGTCACAAATGAAATCCGGTTTTTCATAAATGTGCTGATAAAATTTTGTGTAATTGCAGTAATTATGACATGACATGAATATGCTGTAATTCACACAAGCCTGTGTTATTGTTAATGTACTAATATAGTATTCAGTAATATTCTGAATTGGCTTTTGCTTCTATATTTGCAGTTTTGACCGTGTTGATGAGCAGTTTGCCCGGAGAAGAGAGGAGATCAGACAGCGAGCAGATGAACGGTACGTAAATCTCACCGCTGTGAGTTAAAGGGGTGACTGACTGCTTTTTTTCTAGGCTTGATTGTGTTTATGGGGTGCAGTCTAGGGCTGTCAAAAAAAACAGTTTTCCCCCTTCCCACTGCATCTCATGCTTTTAAATGAAAAAATGTACTCTTTGTGATTGGTTTTCGGTCCTTTGTATTAAACTATACATACATACATGATGTTGCTTTGTTTCTAATTGTTTAAGCAACTTTGTAATTATATTTGGTTTATAAACATTATTTTAAACATTATGCACTTTTATCAAAGATAGTCGTGTTGTTTTATTGCTTTGAAGAAACGTGCATTAGTAATATTTTGCTCAATGCGCCCTCTCGTGGCCTCAGGAGAGAAGCCAAAAGCTTTTTTCCCCCCTAACTGAAATTATGCCTTTTAAATTCAAATATAATTCGAATATTGATCATATTTACGTACAAAATTCGAATGTAGTTTTTCAGCCATTTTGACAGCCCTGATGCAGTCTAACATGTTAATGCTTCAATAAAAAAATTTAAAAACGCATTATTTTTCACATAATTTACCTTTATTCTACACCGCTCTGTCCCTTCTACTAAAAACGGTCTGTTGACTTCCTGTTTTTATGAAGCCCCTTCCTCAGAAATACGTGATGGGCTCTGATTGGTTAGCTGGCCCAGTGTGTTGTGATTGGCTAAACCGCCGAGTGCAGTCCAGAAACGTCACGCCCCTCAGCTCAGAATACGCTCTGGTTGTATTGTAAACAATCGCGTCATCAATATTGCGTATCAATTTGAGCCCGATTGAGGATATTAGTGAAGAGGATCGCGCAAAACCTGTGCAAGTGCGGCTCTTAATGGTATGTTTTTTGTTTGTTGTTGTCTCATACTTTTAGATACGCTGTTATTTGTAAATACTACTGCTTATGTTAGCTTGTAATATACGGTTTTATCCTGATTAAACCTGTAATACACCAGAATACATGATTGCGTTGTATCATTTTTGTAACCGTAAGAAGTGTTTACCAGCAAGTATTGCTCGTTACCACGGCAACCGCGTGCACGTCCATGTTTAACGCTTCTCGTAGCTATGTGAAAAATATCTGTCTGTCTATACACAAAGTGTATAATTGGAACACAGTTCATTGATGGAGCTGATAATCTGAGAGAGAGAGAGAGAGAGAAATGCAGAGCAGGGGACGCGAGGAACAGGATTGAGAACCGCTGCTTTAGGACATTGATTTTGAAACTTATGAATCAGTTAGAATCGTTAGAAGACAGAATCGCGATTCATTTATGAATAGATTTTTTCGTGCACTTCTAGTTTTGACGGCGTGGCAACAACTCTTCCTCTTCTCTAAAGCAGCGCAACTTGGCCCCGCCCCCTTTGTTGCATGTTCCCGGGGTTTATGTAAATTTCAGGCTTTGTGATGTCACCAACCTGGGAAGTAGCTCATTGTAGTCCCTACGAGCCGTTTTTGTAGGCATTAAACTACTATCATTTTAAAAGACAGTATCTCCGTTTGCATTGAACTTTCAGCGTCGTAACTTTGAAGATATTGTTTATGCTCAATTAGCAACATTACACACTAACTAACGTTAAAAAAGTGAAATCACAATCAACCACCCCTTTAAAACATGCTGAAACGAGTTACTTTCCACATTGAAGATTAGGCTTATTTATTTTTTTGGGTCAATTTAATAGTTAATAGTTAAAGGAATAGTTCATACAAAAATGAAAGTGCCCTTGTTTCTTCATCAGATTTAGAGAAATGTAGCATTGCATCAGTGTCTCAGCAATGGATGCTCTGCAGTGAATGGGTGCCGTCAGAATGAGAGTCCAAACAGCTGATAAAAACATCACAATAATCCACAAGTAATCCACAGCACTCCAGTCCATCAGTTAACATCTGGAGAAGACAAAAGCTGAAACACATCCTGCATTAAGACGTTTTTAACTCAAATACCATCGAGTCCATAATCCATAATAACGCTTCCTCCAGTGAAAAAGTG